ATTTATGCTTTAACTATTTGCTGGGTGAACTTGTTATATTCATATTGACCTATATTTCATCTCTGTATAACCATCAAAAAATTGTATTTATTTTTTCTTTGACTATTTGCTCTATTATATTTATTATTTATATTAGCATATATTTCATTTTCTGTATAAAATTGTAAATTGCTACATGTGATTGAAGGTAAGGTAATACATGCACAATGAACAATGATAATGGCAGAGTCAGAGTCTGACATGCCTAACAGTGATAAGAACATTTTCCCGGAAAAGCAAATGCAAGATCCTGCTGGCCCTGTCCTGCAATCTGGACTCCAAGTATCTTTAGATGAAGACATCACTGGCCATCAACCCAAGCCTAAGCCCTAAGGCGCTAGAAAACAATAGAACTAGGTCAAGCATGGACACAGGAGAAGGGTCTCCTAGTCCTAGAAGGCACAAACGGCAAATTGGTACCAAATCTGAACAAGAATCCGACATCCTAATCAGACCTTCAGCTTCTTCTGCTAGTGCTAACATCAGCAAAGCTCCTAGATTATCTGCCTGACAAACACGATATAAATTATTTCCAACCAATGCAACTGACAAATTATCTGGAAACAATAACACAGTGATAATTAAGCAACTCTTTCCTGACACCAGAAAAATCTCATTGGACCCCATCTCAGTGGGGGCAAGAGAACTGCAAAAAAATAATCCAGGATTCCTCAATCCATGATTCCCGCATTAATAAGAGGCGCAATATTATTGCAGTAGAATTCAAACCCTCTGAAAAGCAAGAACAAGAAAAACTCCTTTCAATAACCAAGCTTGGTGGGAACTGGCAAATAAAATGTTACAGACCAACATTGGATCTTAGCAACTCATGCTCAAGTGTTATTGGACCAGTGGGTCTAGATGTCAACCTAGAAGAGCTTTTAGACCCACAGAAACAACCCTGCAAAATAGTCAAGATAACCAGACTGACAAAATTTTCTGGATCACTGAAAGAAGAGTCCATGGCCTTAAAAGTGGATTTTGAAGGGAAGAAACTCCTAGAAGAAGTCCTGTTTGGTTTTATCGCATACAAAGTACGAGTCTACAGCCCACCCCCACTCAGATGCTACAGATGTAAAAAAAAACTAGACACCTCTCCAGTGGATGCACAGCACCTGTGTGCTGTCTGCTCTGTGCAGGAAGCTATTCCAAAGAAGTATGCTCATCAACAACATATAAGTGCGCTAATAGTGGAGGGCCTCATATTACCAGTGAAAATATTCCCAGTGAAAATATTCTATATGCCAATAGAAATGCCTATTCCCAGTGAAAATATTCTTGTGGGAACCTTATTTCTAACAGTTATTTCCAGGGGAACCATATTTTATTGAGAACTAGTTGATAGAAAAAAAGGCTCCCAGTAGAAATACATGCAATAAAATAGGTTCCACTAAAGAGTGCCAATACAACATTCAAGCTAATAAGGCAATAGACTCACTGACAAGAGATGGCAAGATGGCAAACAGAAGGCAAGAAGGCCAGAAGGCAAACAGACTTGATGCTTAGAAATCCACTTTCAAAAGACTACCTACACCAATGAAAACCAAAGCAGCCAGTCAGCAAAAAATTTGTCATAACAACCATCACAACAACCAGGTGGACCAAAAGAATATTCTTTCCAGACAACTACAACTTGCCCTCCCAACAAGCTACATCAACAGAAGAGAACAGCTACAGCCTAGTTGCCCATGCCCAGTCTTCAAGGAGACACAACCCCAATCAAAGTCCTACCCATGTAACCTCTGAACAACCACCTTCAGCTGAAGCCTTGGAGATGCTAACCAGCTTTATCAAAAATGAAATCCAGAAACAAAGCATCTCCTTTTGCAAGTTTTTAAAAGAAATCATTCTTACTGACCTCACAAAAGAAAACAAGAAAGAAAAGGAATTACTGACCATCAGCGCAACAAGAAAGCACTTTGGTATTGGTGTTGCTGAAGTGTTGCTGGAAGAGTTTCACTCCAGGAATACTACCAATGCAGTTTCAGCTAGTGTAGACTGTCTGATAGAAGCTTGTGTACCCAACTCCTGTCAACTCTGACTTACCCACAGACAACAGTAACAAAAAAGAGACTAATCCTTAATTAAAATCATACAAGAATGCACTTCGCCCTGAGAATGAAGAATCACAACTCACTCATAAGCAACAGAAGAAGTATACCAGAAGTTTAAAGAGAAAGAAAATTTAAATGGCTACCAAAAATATCAATTCCATACAATGAGCAACTGAATTAGAGTCCCAGCTTGAAATCTACCAACTGAACTGCAATGGTCTTAGGGGAATGGTTTCAGAACTCAAGATCTATATATATACAAGAAAGCCAGATCTGATGTTTGAGTGAAACATGGCCTGAAGAAGACTGAACCCAAATTCCTTGCATATATACCAGTTACTTTGAGCACATAGAATCAGAGAAAAGGGAGGCCTTGGTATTTTAATAAAAGAAGATGTCATATATAAACCTAAGCAGATGAATCCTTTTCCTGCTGGCTCCCTTGAGTGCCAGGCCATAGAAATATTCACCAACTTTAGCAGGATTAATATTTTAAATGCCTATAACTCATGCAAAAATATATCAGTACAGGAGTTGCAACATTACACTAATCAGCTTGGAACCAGCTTTCTCCTCATTGGGGATTTCAATGGACACTTGCCACCATGGGACTCTTGCAACAGGTCCAACTTTACAGGCAGAAGTATTGAAAGATTGCTAGAGATCCACAGCCTTGTATTGCTTAACAATGTGGACATCCCTACATACGGTACATTGACAGCCGTACTGCCACAACTTCTTGCCTTGACCTCTGCATAGCAAATCACAATTTGGGCACCCTTGGGAACTGCATTGGGGCAGTGATATTGGTAGTGACTATTTCCCTCTGGAAATTACATTTAGCTCTGGCGCTTTTATGTGGCTCTGCCGCTTTTCTGTGGCTCTGTCGCTTTTCTGTGGCTCTGTCGCTTTTCTGTGGCTCTGTCGCTTTTCTGTGGCTCTGTCGCTTTTCTGTGGCTCTGTTGCTTTTCTGTGGCTCTGTCGCTTTTCTGCAGCTCTGCTGCTTTTCTGTGGCTCTGCCGCTTTTCTGGGGCTCTGCCGCTTTTCTGCGGCTCTGCTGCTTTTCTGCGGCTCTGCTGCTTTTCTGCGGCTCTGCCGCTTCTCTGCGGCTCTGCCGCTGCTCTGCGGCTCTGCTGCTTTTCTATAGCTTTTCTGCTTCTCTGGGGCTTGGCCACTTTTCTGTAGCTTTTCTGCTTCTCTGGGGCTCTGCTATGTTCTGTGGGTCTGCCAAGTCCAAGGCATGTTACTCTGCTCTGCTGTGTTGCATGGCTGTGCTCTTCAGGTTTACTGCACATGCTACAGCTTCCTGCCATCATGCCGTGGGGCTGCATGAACTAGTATCCAAAGCTCCCTATAAAAATGATTAGAAGAAGAACTCAGAGCTCTGCACTTTAATGCAACCTAGACCTGCCTCCTCACTCTAGCCCTGGTAACCCCGCCCATCTGAGAAAGTGATACTTCATCAAATGTTCTTCCCATGATGCCCAATATTGCAACTAATTCTGGTATTCAAAACTTTTCCTAGTGAAAATTGTTAGTTCTTATGGCATGCAATAAATCAGTTAGTGTGTATATTGTGTATTTTGTTGCTTTTGATGAATGTCTTCTTCTATTGTAATCTCCATTAAGTTGCAATTCAATATATTGCTCTCGTATCATAAATATATTCTAAGTTTGTGAATCATTAATGTGATTAAGAACTGAAAACCCATCATTTATAGTTATTATGTTACTCTTCTCCCAGGTTGCAAAGGAATTGATTAATTTTGTGTGCTCTGTGTTGCTGTGGTTGTACAATGAATCTTGACAAGGTGTCATCATGAGTGGGAGTTGTTCAGTGAGCCCAGATGCTAAGCCGTCTGGCCAGGAGACTGGGCTTGCTGAATTTGGTGCCATGCCACCTGAGCAGAAGCAGAGCTACAGCTCAGCCATCATGGGCTACTTGCGTAAGATAACTGGTGAGTCGAGTTCATTTATTATATATGAATTGTGTCAGCCATCATGGGCTACTTTCATAAGATAACTAGTGAGTCGATTTGATTTATTATATATGAATTGTGTCAGCCATCATGGGCTACTTGTAGATAACTCATATTTGTATGTGTATAGACAACCAGTTTTTGAATTGAATAAAGGCATTAATTGACAATTTTACTCTGATTGTAACACAAAGTGTGACATTTAAGGTTTTTTCAGTGAATTGCCATGTTGTGCTTAAGCATATCCAGTAAAACACCATAAAAATGCCAAAAAATACCTATGATAAAAATTTGATGAAAGCCATATTATCAGTTGTTAGAATTCTAATCATGCTCTATGCTTCTAAAGCTATGTTTTTATTTTGCAATTGTTGTTCCATGGTTCACAATTGCATGAAATTACAATTTTCAGGAGGACTCAGCAGCAAGTCACTCAATACTTCAGAGGTTGCTGCGTTGCAAACTTATTCCGATTGTGATGTCCCTGTCTCTTATACACATCTAGATGTGTATAAGAGACAGGTCAAATAGACTTTGAGTTTTGGGGGTTTTTGTTAAAAAATTGAAAAGTGGTATAAGTTTACCCCATTTTACAGTATGTTTTATTGTAAACTTTTGTGCCCCCACTCAAACAATTGACTATATTTTGCTTGTTTAATTATTTTCCAGTAAGAAACCAACCATAAAACCCTAATGGGAGCCTGTATGTGAATTGTGCTATGCTTGCATTTATGAAAGCTATTTCTGATTGAATATAATTAGTTTGTTTTGTCTTGGTATTTCAAGCAGAAGCAGCTTGAAATAGCCAGAAAGGTAAAACAACCTCAGAATATACATTTCTGAATTAAACCAATATTAACAAAGCTATATTATGATTTAGACTTTTATGATGTTGAATATTGGTCATTTGATTTTTATACTCAGTCTGGCCCAAGTTCCATGGAGTTTCCTTTGGAGCGCAGCCTCTACGCAACACTCAAGAGGATCGAGTATGTGCTGCTGGTCAAAGGACAGGTGAGCGCAGCCTTAACACCACACTAAGGGGAGAGAGTAAGTGCTGCTGGTCAAAGGACTGGTGAGCGCAGCCTTAACACCACACTAAGGGGAGAGAGTAAGGGTTATCTCATCCCTTGTCATGTACTCATAATGTACATTACAGCTGTAGAGTGTTGTACTTGGTAGTGCTTGTGCTGCTTGTTAGAGTTCTAGTCAATTTGTTACATTGGATCATGATGCCTTGCTGACAATATCCTAATGCTGTTGGGGGAAGCCCATTTCAGTGATATTGCAAGGAAGTAGGATTTTCCTACTAGGGGTCCTGCAAACCCCCCTCTCCTGAGATGCAATGTAATGTGAAATTAAAGTACGAAATTAAAGCAAAAGTATGTATCAATTTCAGTGTTGACATCATAGTAGAGTGCTCACTGTTTGATATGTATCACTAACTTAATCATGCTAAAGTTAATGTAAAAGATATTTTTTATGGATTTAGTGCACTCCTGAGGTTTATCATGTTAATCTGTTTTTGCTTTTCAGACTGGGTAAAGCAGGCAAACTTGAAAATACCATTATGCAAGGTTATAGACCCCCGTGCCTCGGTTTGCGCTTATTCTTTTTGTTCTCTGTTCAATGTACATACCTGGTTCTTCTTGTTGTGTTGTTCAATAAATTGTTAAATAAACACAAGGAAAAGTCTCATAAAAAGGTGGTTTGGGATGGTTGTAGGGGAGGTGGAGACCATCACCAATTCCTTGTTTGCTTGACACCCTTGCAACAATCACCCTCAGGCCCAAAACGTGGCTGGTAGCATAATAAATAGAGTCCTACTACAATGCTACTGGTTGCTATCACTATTGTTATTGCCTTTGGCAACTTAGTAATTTGAGCCTGCGTTTTATTTATTTGTTTACCTCTTCACACTTTTGTGTGAAGAGGTGTTTAATAACATACTAAAACATACTATTAAATAACTAGGTACTTATTTGAAACATTCTTCAACCAACTGCTAAGTATTTATTTTTTTGTAATTTTGAATTTTAAGTTGCAAACTGCTATTGATGAAGCTTGTATGGAGGCCATGATCAGAAAAATGGCTGCTGTTTAAAATATATTTTATGGATAAAATTTTGAACTAATTCACTGTTAAGTAATGCAATATTGTCAAGTTCATGACATTTTGTTAACATTTCATGTTTTTTCAACCATAAAATTCTGTTCAGAATAAATTCATGTTTGAGCACACAAATGCCAACCAAACATGAGGTGCAACCAACACACGCACATCAATCAATACCACAGCTTGGTTGCAGTTAGTAGCGTGAAAATGTCTATTGTAACCTTAACCTAACCTAATGAAACAACTTTCTATCAAAAAGCATGATGTTATGAGTCTACTATAAATAGATTAAAATATTATTAAGTATTTTTTATCACAAGGTAATATAGGTAATCAGAATACAATTCTTCTTGACTTAAAGTGGCTTCTGATATACCAGCCACTATTAAGTTATGTTTGCCCTTAACTTGTCTTGTTGAGTAGGAAAGCCTTGATGCCCCTCTCAGGGTATTGAGGGTATCTCAGGGTATGATGCCCCTCTCAGGGTATCTGCCACAGTGGCGCTGTTAACTCTGTCGCCATATGCCAAGGAGGCGCTGTTATCTCTGTTGTCACCATATGCCACAGTGGCGCTGTTAACTCTGTCCCCATATGCCAAGGAGGCGCTGATATCCCTGTTGTCCTTGTGTGCCACAGTGGCGCTGTTATCCCTGTTGTCCCTGTGTGCCACAGTGGCGTTGTTATCCCTGTTGTCACCATATGCCACAGTGGCGCTGTTATCTCTGTCCCCATATGCCAAGGAGGCGCTGATATCCCTGTCTCTTATACACATCTAGATGTGTATAAGAGACAGTCTCAGGGTATCGAGGGTCAGGGTATCTCAGGGCATGATGCCCCTCTCAGGGTATCTCAGGGTATGATGCCCCTCTCAGGGTATCTCAGGGTATGATGCCCCTCTCAGGGTATCGAGGGTATCTCAGGGTATGATGCCCCTCTCAGGGTATCGAGGAGCTGCGGGGTCACTGGGCACGGGACAGCAGCACGAGCGCGTGCCACAAATGTGACGAGCGCTTCAGTGCCTTCAAGCGGCGCCACCACTGCCGCCTGTGTGGCGACCTCTTCTGCTCCGCCTGCTGCAACACTCGCCTGCCACACGAGCTGGTGCCACACGCAGGTAAGTGCTGCCACTGCCGCCTGTGTGGCGACAGTAGTGGTATCGCTGTTGTCCCCATATGCCACAGTGGCGCTGTTATCCCTGTTGTCCCTGTGTGCCACAGTGGCGCTGTTATCCCTGTTGTCTCCATATGCCATGGTAGCGCTGTTATCCCTGTTGTACCTGTATGCCACAGTGGCGCTGTTATCCTGTTGTCCCTGTATGCCACAGTGGCGCTGTTATCCCTGTTGTCCCCATATGCCACAGTGGCGCTGTTATCCCTGTTGTCCCCATATGCCACAGTGGCGCTGTTATCCCTGTTGTATCCATATGCCACAGTGGTGTTGTTATCCCTGTGTGCCACTGTGGCACTGTTATTCCTTTTGTCCCTGTGTGCCACAGTGGCGCTGTTATCCCTGTTGTCTCCATATGCCATGGTAGCGCTGTTATCCCTGTTGTACCTGTATGCCACAGTGGCGCTGTTATCCTGTTGTCCCTGTATGCCACAGTGGCGCTGTTATCCCTGTTGTCCCCATATGCCACAGTGGCGCTGTTATCCCTGTTGTCCCCATATGCCACAGTGGCGCTGTTATCCCTGTTGT